AACGCATATGCGTAAGTAAAAACGTAAGTGAAAGCGCATATGCAAGTGTAAATGCAAAATGCTAGTGCAAATGTAAATGCAAGCGCGAGTGCAAATATAAATGCAAAAGAAAACGGTGAGGTAAATAAAACGCAAACGCAAAACCAGACGTGAACGCAAACGCAAATGCAAATGTAAATGCAAACGCAAAAACTTGTATTTAACAAATAAAAGCACACATAATATAATTAATTTTTCATAGAAAAAGTTTTGTATATTGATTAGTATTCAAAGTTTTTGTATACAGATCTTTCTGTAAACACATATGCCATTATAATAAATAAATAAAAAAAATGCAAATGCAGATGTAAATGCAATTGCAAATGCAGATGTAAATGCAATTGCAAATGCATATGTAAAAGCAAACGCAAACGCAAGTACAATGCAAAGTCAAATGCAAATGCAAACACAAATGTGAATGCAAACAAATACGGAAATATAAATGCAAAATGCAAAAGCAAATGTAAATGCAAATGCTATTGCAAATATAAATGTAAAAGCGAAGGCATATGAAAAGCTGATGTAAATGCACACGCAAATGCAAATGTAAATGCAAACGCAAGTGCAAAATGTAAGAGCAAACGTAATTGTAGAGGTAAAGCAAACGCAAATGCAAAGGTAAACGTAAACGTAAATGCATACGTGAACGCAAACGCAAATGCGGATGTAAATGCAAATGCTAGAGCAGATGTAAATGCAAACGTAAATGCAAATGTAAATACAAACTCAAACGCCAATGCAAATGCAAGCGTAAAGGTACAACACAAAAACGCAAACTAAAATATTCATGCAAACGCGAATGAGAAAGCAAGTGCAAATACAAATCCAAACGCAAATACTATGGTAAATGCAAACGCAAATGCAAATGTAATCAAAAATGCAAATGCGAATACAAATGTGTATATAAACCTTTAATAAATAAATAAAACAAACTAAACGCATATATAATCGCAAACGCTAATGCAAATGTAAGTGCAAAAGCAAATGCAAATATAAATTAAAATGCGAAAACAAAAGTAGGTATAGATGGAAAGGAAAAGGCATGGGCGATTGTAAATGCTATAGCAAATGCGCGTGTGAATAAAAAATCTAAAGCACATGTAAATGCAAAGTAAATGCATACACAGATGCATATGTAAATGCAAATGTAAATGCAAAGCAAAGGTCGATGTTATTGCAAACGCAAATATAAATGCGAATGTAAATGCCACCGCGAATGCAACTGTGAATGCAAATGTAAATGCAAATGCATATGCAAATGCAAAGATAAACGCGCATGTAAAACGCATAGACAAATGTATGCACGTGTAGATGCAAAAGCAAAGGCATATGTAAATGCGAACGCAAATGCAAATGTAAATGCAAACGCACATGCAAATGTAATTACAAACGCAAATGCGAAACTAATTGTAAACGCAAACGCAAATGCAACCGCAAATGTAAATAAAAAGTCATAAGCGATTGTAAATTCAAAAGCACATGTAAATTGAAACGCAAATGCAAATGTAAATTCAAGCACAGGTGCATATGTAAATGCAAACGCAAATGCCGATGTTATTGCGAACGCAGATGTAAATGCAAATGCAAATCTAAATGCACATGTAAACGCCAACTGCAAATCCAAACGCCAATTTAAAAGCGGACGCAAATGCAAATGTAAATGCAAACGCAAGAGCATATATCAGTGCAAACGTGAATGTAAGGCAAATGCTAATAAAAACACCAATGAGAATAAATTTGTAAGTGCAAACGTAAATGTAACTGTAAATACAAACCTAAAAGCAAATGCGCATGTAGGTGCAAACTTGACTGTAAATGTAAATGCAAAAACAATCGCAAAAGCATGTGTAAAAGCAAACGCTAATGCACGTGTTATGCAAAACCAAATGCAAATTCATACGCAAATATGAATGCGAACTCAAACGCAAATATAAATGCAAATGTAAATGCAAATTGAATTGCAAAATGTAAACACGGACGAAATGTAAATGCGGACGGAAATACAAAAGCAAATGTAATGTAAATGCAATTGCAAGTGTAGATGTAACCGCAAACGAATATGCGAACTTAAATGCAAACAAAAATGCGATTATAAATGCAAAGGCTTGTGCAGATGCATAAGCATGTGTAAATGCAAACATTAATATAAATACAGATGTAAATGCAAATGTGCGTTCAGAATTTACGTTCGATCTTTCTATTTAGCTAAATTTGTAAATGCAAACGTGAACGCAGATGTGAATGCAAATGCAAATGCGAACACCAATGCAAAGGCAAAGGCTGATGTAATTGCAAATGCAGGGGTAAATTCCGACGCGGGAGCGATTGTGAATTCAAACGCAGATGTAATGTAAAACGCAAGAACAAATGTGAATGCAAATGTAAATGCAAGCGCGGATGCAAATGTATGTGCAAACGCAAACGCAAGTGTAAATGCAAACGCAAGAGCAAATGTAAGCGCAAACGTGCATGGAAATATAAATACGGACAAAAACGTAAATGCAAACTCAAAAGCAAACGCAAGTAAAAATGTAAGTACAAAAGCAAATGCAATCACAAATGCTGTAATAGAAGCAAACAAAAGTGTAAATGCAAAACCAAACGCAAATGCAAAAGTAAAAGCTAACGCACAAGCGCGCATAAATGCAAACGCAAATGCAAATGTAAATGCAAGTGCAATTGTGGATATAGATGCAAACGCATACGCAAACTTAAAAGCAAACGAAAATGAGATTATAAATGCAAGAGCAAGTGCAGATGCAAGAGCATGTGTAATTGCAAACGTAAATATAAATATGAATACGAACCCAAACACAAATACAAATGTAAATGCAAACGTTCGTTCAAAATTTAAGTTTTGTCGAAATTTTATTTAGTTAAATTTGTAAATGCCAAGGCAAGTGTGAATACAAATGCAAATGCGAGAGGATAAGCAAATTTAAATGCAAACGTAAACGCAGTTGTGAATGCAAATGCAAAAGCAATTGTGAATGCAAATGTAAATGCAAACGCAAATGCAAAGGCAATTGCTGATGTAATTGCAAATCCAAAAGTAAATTTTGACGCATATGCAATTGTGAATTCAAACACGGATGTAATGTAAAACGCAAGAACAAATGTGTATGCAATTGCGAATGTAAATGCAAGCGCAGATGCAAATGTAAGTGCAAACACAAAAGCAAGTGTAAGTGCAAACGCAAGAGCAAATGTAAGCGCGAACGTGCATGTAAATATAAATGCGGACACAAATGTAAATGCGAATCCAAATGCAAACGCAAGCCAAAATGTAAATGCAAAAGCAAATGTAATCGCAAACGCTGTGGTGGGCAAATGTTGAAGTAATTGCAAATGCAAATATGAAAGGTAAAGCAAATGCATCTCTGGATACAAACGCGAATGCAAATGAATATGCAAATGCGTAGCGCAAATGCAAATGTAAATGCAAACGAAATTGCAAATATGAATGCAAGCGCTGTTGCCAATGTAAGTTCAAACGCGTATGCAAGTGTAAATGCAAATGCTAGTGCAAATGTAAATGCAAGCGCAGGTGCAAATATAAATGCATAAGCAAACAGTGAGGTAAATAAAACGCAAACGCAAACGCAGAAGTGAATGCAAACGCAAAAGCAAATGTAAATGACAACGCAAATGTGAATGTAAATGCGAACGCAAAAACGTTCACAGAAGCAAACGTGAATGCAAATGCAGGTGTAAATGCAATTGCAAATGCATATGTAAAACCAAACGCAAACGCAAGTATGATGCCAAGTCAAATGCAAATGCAAACACAAATATGAATGCAAACACATACGGAAATATAAATGCAAAATGCAAAAGCAAATGTAAAAGCAAACGCAAATGTAAATATAAACGAAATATAAATGCGGACGAAAATGCAAACGCAAAAGCAAATGCTAACGCAAAGGCAGATGTAATTGCAAAAGCATAGGTAAAAGTAAATGCAAAAGCAGAGGCAAAGGTAAATGCGAAAGCAAATGCTGATGTAACCGCAAACGTAAAGGCATACGTAAACACAATCGCAAACGCAAAAGTAAATGCAAGCAAAAATGCAAATGCTAATGTAAAGGCAAACGCAAATGCAAATGTAAATGCAAACGCAAGTGCAAATATAAATGCAAACGCAGATTCAAAAATAAATGTAAACGCGAAGGCCAATGCAAATGTAAACACAAAAGTTGTTGTGAACACACAGGCAAATGCAAATGTAAGTGCAAATGCAATAGCAAATGTAAGAGCAAACGTAAATGTAGAAGTAAAAGTAAACGCAAATGCAAAGGCAAATGTTTGGATTTACAATTGCCTTAGCGTTGGCATCTATATTTGCAATCGCATTTGCTTTTGCAATTACATTTGCTTTTGCGTTTGCAGTTTCGTTTGCTTTTACTTTAGCATTTACGTTTGCATTTACGTTTGCATTTACATTTGCGTACGTCCGCACTTACAATCGCACTTGTGTTTGCACTTGCATTCACCTCGGTGTATCAGTTTGCATTTCCGTTTATATTTGTTTTTGCACTTGCATCTTGCTTTGCATTTGCTTTGGCGTCCGCGTTTGCATTTACGTCGTGAACGCAAGCGCAATTGCAAATGTAACTGCAAGCGCAGAGGCAAATGTAAGTACAAATGCAAACGCAAGTGTAAATGCAAACGCAAGAGCAAATACTGACGCAAATGCGAACGTAAATGCAAACGCAGACGCCAAAGCAAACAGGGATGCGAATGCAAATTCAAATGTGATTGCAAGCGCAAAAGCAAATATAAACGAAAATGCAAAAGCAAATGCAATTGCAAATATAGATACCAACGCTATTGCAACTGTAAATCCAAACGTGAATGCAAAGTATTGAAAATATAATTGCAAATATCCAAGTGTAAATGCTAACGCAAATGTGAATAAAAATGCAAGTGCTAATAGATATGCAGATATAAATACAAACGCTATGGCAGACGTAAATGCAAAATCGAATGCAGAAGTAAATGCAAACGCAAAGGCCAATGCAAACTCTAACGCAAATGTAAACGCAAACGTAGATGCGAAACTTAGACTCAGGTGTAAATGTGAGCAAACGCAAGTGAATAGAAAATTCAAACTCAAACGCAAATGTAAATGCACTTGCAAACGTAGTTGTACCGGCAAATGCATGCGTAAATGCAATGCAAACGCAAATGTAAATGCCAACGCAAATGTAGAAATGCAACTACATCGATATTGGCCCCTGCATTTACGTTTGCGACTGCAATCACATTTGCATTTACGCAAGCGCGGTTGTAAAGCAAACGTAAATGCTAATGTATATGCAAACGCAAGTGCGAATACTAATGCAAATGTAAAAACATGTGCAAGTTTAAATGCAAACGTAAATGCATATGTGAATGCAAACGCAATTGCAGATGTAAACGCTTGCGTAAATGCAAATGTGATTGCAGTTGCAAACGTAAATGCAAGGGCCAATACAGACGTAATTGCAAATGCAAAAGTAAATGCCGACGCAAATGCAATTGTCAATTTAAACGCTGATGAAACACTTGCCTTTGCATTTACAAATTTAACTAAATAAAATTTCGACAAAACTTAAATTTTGAACGAACGTTTGCATTTACATTTGTATTTGTGTTTGGGTTCGTATTCATATTTATATTTACGTTTGCAATTACACATGCTATTGCATCTGCACTTGCTCTTGCATTTATAATCTCATTTTCGTTTGCTTTTAAGTTTGCGTATGCGTTTGCATCTATATCCACAATTGCACTTGCATTTACATTTGCATTTGCGTTTGCATTTATGCCCGCTTGTGCGTTAGCTTTTACTTTTGCATTTGCGTTTGGTTTTGCATTTACACTTTTGTTTGCTTCTATTACAGCATTTGTGATTGCATTTGCTTTTGTACTTACATTTTTACTTGCGTTTGCTTTTGAGTTTGCATTTACGTTTTTGTCCGTATTTATATTTCCATGCACGTTTGCGCTTACATTTGCTCTTGCGTTTGCATTTACACTTGCGTTTGCGTTTGCACATACATTTGCATCCGCGCTTGCATTTACATTTGCATTCACATTTGTTCTTGCGTTTTACATTACATCTGCGTTTGAATTCACAATCGCTCACGCGTCGGAATTTACCCCTGCATTTGCAATTACATCAGCCTTTGCCTTTGCATTGGTGTTTGCATTTGCATTCACATTTGCTTTTGCGCTTTTATTCACATCTGCGTTCACGTTTGCACTTACAAATTTAACTAAATAAAAAGATCGAACGTAAATTATGAACGCACATTTGCATTTACATCTGTATTTATATTAATGTTTGCATTTACACATGCTTATGCATCTGCCTTTGCATTTATAATCGCATTTTTGTTTGCATTTAAGTTCGCATATTCGTTTGCGGTTACATCTACACTTGCAATTGCATTTACATTACATTTGCTTTTGTATTTCCGTCCGCATTTACATTTCGTTCGTGTTTACATTTTGCAATTCAATTTGCATTTACATTTTGCATTTATATTTGCGTTTGAGTTCGCATTCATATTTGCGTATGAATTTGCATTTGATTTTGCATAACACGTGCATTAGCGTTTGCTTTTACACATGCTTTTGCGATTGTTTTTGCATTCACATTTACAGTCAAGTTTGCACCTACATGCGCATTTGCTTTTAGGTTTGTATTCACAGTTACATTTACGTTTGCACTTACAAATTTATTCTCATTGGTGTTTTTATTAGCATTTGCCTTACATTCACGTTTGCACTGATATATGCTCTTGCGTTTGCATTTACATTTGCATTTGCGTCCGCTTTTAAATTGGCGTTTGGATTTGCAGTTGGCGTTTACATGTGCATTTAGATTTGCATTTGCATTTACATCTGCGTTCGCAATAACATCGGCATTTGCGTTTGCATTTACATATGCACCTGTGCTTGAATTTACATTTGCATTTGCGTTTCAATTCACATGTGCTTTTGAATTTACAATCGCTTATGACTTTTTATTTACATTTGCGGTTGCATTTGCGTTTGCGTTTACAATTAGTTTCGCATTTGCGTTTGTAATTACATTTGCATGTGCGTTTGCATTTACATTTGCATTTGCGTTCGCATACACATATGCCTTTGCTTTTGCATCTACACGTGCATACATTTGTCTATGCGTTTTACATGCGCGTTTATCTTTGTATTTGCATATGCATTTGCATTTACATTTGCATTCACAGTTGCATTCGCGGTGGCATTTACATTCGCATTTATATTTGCGTTTGCAATAACATCGACCTTAGCCTTTGCATTTACATTTGCATTTACATATGCATCTGTGTTTGCATTTACTTTGCATTTACATGTGCTTTAGATTTTTTATTCACACGCGCATTTGCTATAGCATTTACAATCGCCCATGCCTTTTCCTTTCCATCTATACCTACTTTTGTTTTCGCATTTTAATTTATATTTGCATTTGCTTTTGCACTTACATTTGCATTAGCGTTTGCGATTATATATGCGTTTAGTTCGTTTTATTTATTTATTAAAAGTTTATATACACATTTGTATTCGCTTTTGCATTTTTGATTACATTTGCATTTGCGTTTGCATTTACCATAGTATTTGCGTTTGGATTTGTATTTGCACTTGCTTTCTCATTCGCGTTTGCATGAATATTTTAGTTTGCGTTTTTGTGTTGTATCTTTACGCTTGCATTTGCATTGGCGTTTGAGTTTGTATTTACATTTGCATTTACATCTGCTCCCGCATTTGCATTTACATCCGCATTTGCGTTTGCGTCCACGTATGCATTTACGTTTACGTTTACCTTTGCATTTGCGTTTGCTTTACCTCTACAATTACGTTTGCTCTTACATTTGCACTTGCGTTTGCATTTACATTTGCATTTGCGTGTGCATTTACATCAGCTTTTCATATGCCTTCGCTTTTACATTTATATTTGCAATAGCATTTGCATTTACATTTGCTTTTGCATTTTGCATTTATATTTCCGTATTTGTTTGCATTCACATTTGTGTTTGCATTTGCATTTGACTTTGCATTGTACTTGCGTTTGCGTTTGCTTTTACATATGCATTTGCAATTGCATTTACATCTGCATTTGCATTTATGTTTGCATTTTTTTTTACTTATTTATTATAATGGCATATGTGTTTACAGAAAGATCTATATACAAAAAACTTTGAATACCAATCAATATACATAAACTTTTTCTATGAAAAATTAATTATATTATGTGTGCTTTTATTTGTTAAATACAAGTTTTTGCGTTTGCATTTACATTTGCATTTGCGTTTGCGTTTTATTTACCTCACCGTTTTCTTTTGCATTTATATTTGCACTCGCGCTTGCATTTACATTTGCACTAGCATTTGCATTTACACTTGCATATGCGCTTTCACTTACGTTTTCACTTACGCATATGCGTTTTCACTTATATGCGTTTGTATACAGAGTTGCATTTGCTTTAGCATTTATATTTGCATTCGCAATTACTTCAGCATTTGCCTTCGCATTCCTATCTACCACAGCGTTTGCGATCGCATTTGCTTTTGCATTTACATTTTGGCTTGTCTTTGCATTTGAGTTTGCATCTACATTTGTGTCCGCATTTATATTTGCATGCACGTTTGCGTTTACATTTGCTCTTGGGTTCGCACTTACATTTGCATCTGCGCTTGCATTTACATTTGCAATAGCGTTAGCATACACATTTGTTCTTGCGTTTTACATTTCATCCGTGTTCGAATTCACAATTGCATTTTCGTCGAAATTTACTGTTGGATTTGCAATTACATCAGCATTTGCCTTTGCATTTGCGTTTGCTTATCCCCTCGCATTCGCATTTGTATTCACACTTGCGTTTGCATTTACAAATTTAAATCGGTCAAAATTTTGTTTAGTTAACTAAACAAACGAACGAAACATAGTTAACGAAACGTAAATTTTGAACAAACGTAAATTTTGATGGAACGTAAATGTTGAACGAACGTTTGCATTTACATTTGTATTTGTATTTGTGTTCGTATTCATGTTTATATTTACGTTTGCTGCATTTGCTTTTGCATTTATAATCTCATTTTCGTTTGCATTTAAGTTTGCGTATGCGTTTGCATCTATATCCACAATTGCACTTGCATTGGCATTGCGTTGGCATTTATACCCGCTTGTGCGTTTACTTTTACATTTGCATTTGCGTTTGATTTTGCATTTACACTTTTGTTTGCATTTATATTTGCATTCGCGTTTGCATTTGCATTTGCTCTTACATTTGCACTTGCGCTCACATTCATATCCGCTTTTGCATTTACGTTTTCGTGTGCGTTTCCGTCCGCATTTACATTTCGTTCGTGTTTACACTTTGCAATTCCTTTTGCATTTACATTTGCCTTTACTTTTTGCGTTTATATTTGCGTATGAGTCTGCATTTATATTTGCGTGTGCATTTGCATTTGATTTTGAATAACACTTGAATTTGCGTTTGCTTTTACATATGCCTTTGATTTTGCACTTACAAGCGCATTTAATATTGCATTTACAATCGCCTATGTCTTTTCATTTACATTCGCGTATGCATTCGCGTTTGCGTTCAAATTTAGTTTTGCATTTGCGTTTGCATTTACATTTGCGTTTGCATTTGTACTTAAATTTGCATATGCATTTGCAATTACATTTGCATTCATATTTGTGTTTGCGTTTGCATTTGACTTTGCACCCCACTTGCGTTTGCGTTTGTTTCTACATATGTATTTGCAATTGCATTTACATCTGCATTTGCATTCACGCTTGCATTTTTTTTTATTTATTTATTATAATGGCATCTGATCTGAATCATAATGTCACCACTTAGTTTACAGAGATATCTATACACAAAAAACTTTGAATATACAATGAAATATAATGTTGAATTTATAAGTTAAATTTCTAAACTATTTTCTATAAAAAATTAATAACATTATCCGTGCTTTCAGAACTAATTATAAATAATTGATGAATGCTAGTCGGAAATTCGACCTTAAAATCTATCTTCACTGCTGAACCCATAGGCATCAAAAACACAATAAAATTATTGAAGATAATTATATGGAAAACTGTACCATTCTAACCGACTCTCGGAGTGCAATCGAGGCGCTAGGGAGAATAAATAATAAGACAAATAATATTATTTTGGAAATACTCGAGGCTATAGGAAAGTTAGGAAACAAAAAACATAAAATAAACATTGTGTGGATGAAGGCACATGCAGTTATTGAGAACAACGAAACTGTTGCGGAACAGGCTTGTCAATTCGGGGAGAAAGGACATAAAATTCCAGCTTCGGAACTAAGACAGGAACTTAAGCAAATCTCCCTACATCAATGGCAACTCAATTATACAAAGTCTCTAGAGAAAATAGGACACTAGTATGGTTCAATAAACCCAAAAGTATCTACGAAACCTTTGTTTAAAAAAATAAAACAAATTAGAAAATACATTACAAATATATATAGTATCCGACCAGGTCACGGGAGGTTTGGACAGCACCTAAATAAAATCAATGTTATCAATTCCCCAT